TGCAGATCTATTTCATTACTGCAGATCTATTCTATTATCGCAGATCTATTTTACTGCAGATCTATTTTATTGCGTGTTATTTCTATAACGTCAGAGCAAACCAAAGAGCCAGATTTGTTGTTGAAGTTTGTTTTTCTGCATATTTTGAAAGAGACGAGCTGATTGGTCGGGAAGGACATAGGAGCGTATCAGTGACAGGAAGCTGTTTTCCCATCATGCACTGGGGCGATAGCGGCACCAGATGCAAGAGTTTGCCCTGGAGCTGAAGGACCAACACCCATCGGATCTATGCAGCTCTAGCTCTACTCAAACACATCTGGAAACTGGGTGGGCCTTTCTGGTCCAGAACTGGACTGGTTTCAATCCCAGAGAAGGACGGATGGAGGCTGGTAAGGGTCAAGGCTCCATCTTAGGCCCCCCTCCTGTATCTCCATGCTCCCCCTGACCAGATCTGACTAAACAGCATCAGTTACCATGACGATGCAGACCACACCCAGCTGTCCATCACCAGGTGACTATGAACCCATTCCGCTGTGGTTGTTCACCAGGTTTTCCCGTTTTTTAAAACATGGCTACCAGGTGATTAACCAATCAGAGCTTTGTCTCTGGTTGAACTGTCACTCCTGATTGGTCCACAGGTGACGACCATCAGAGGACGGCAACCTTCAATCCAAGTTTGGACTTTTTCCTTCCATCAGTCTTGATGGGAAGTTATTATTTTCACCATATCTATCACTGAGGACACGTAAATATACTTTAGTTGCTTCTAATTTAGTTGCCTTATTGCCGTCACATAAACCGCTCTGATGATGCCTTTAAAGACCATTGGAAAGCTTGGATTATTTCCCTTCGTATCCAATGCATATGCGTTTAATTACTGTTGGAATTTACAGTCTTAGACCTGTTCTTCTGTCATTCTCACCAATTCTTTCAATATCTTGGTTTTATTTCACTGAAGCCTCATCATCATCACCATCATCATCATCATCATCACCATCACCATCACCATCACCATCATCACCACCATCACCATCACCATCATCACCATCATCGCAATCACCATCACCATCATCATCACCATCATCATCATCATCATCACCATCACCATCACCATCACCATCACCATCACCATCATCATCATCATCACCATCATCATCGCAATCACCATCACCATCATCACCACCACCATCATCATCATCAATGGGCACTCACAGCTGGACAGCTCCGAGCTGAGGACCAGGACGCTGACCTCATCTTCGCCTGACCGGCCGTTGGAGTCGGTGACGGTCAACTTCAGGACGTAGGATCCCGGCTGGAGGTTGGAGAGCCGCTGCTGGTCCAGAAGGTCCGTGTTCTGCAGAACCCCAGAGAGACACTCAGGAACCAGAAACCAGCTGAACCCGAGCCGGTTTAAAGCCGACCGACACGACTGATCTGGTCAGGACACGTCTGAGTTTGGGTCGGTGTTCTGATGAACAGATCAGAACCTCTGAACCGTTACCTCCATCTTCAGACTGCGGTCTCCACTCTGCAAACTCCAGCGGTAGGTGGCGATCTTGGCGTTCCCCAGCGCCACGCTCTCTGTGCCGTTCAGCGTCACCGTCTCTCCAGGCTGGACAACAACATCGCGGCCTGCGTTAGCGATGGGCGGAGGCTGCTCACCTGAAAGAGAAGGGCTAGGATTAGAAATTAGGATTAAGGAATAGGATTAACAAATACATTGGGATTAAGGGCTAGGATTAAAAAAGCAGGGACAGAATGACCAGATTAAATGACCGGAATAGATGCCGGATTAAATAACTGAATTAAACAACTGGGTTAGATGACCGGATTAAATGACCGGGTTAGATGACCGGGTTAGATGACCGGATTAAATGACCGGATTAATTGACCAGATTAAATGACCGGATTAATTGACCGGATTAATTGACCGGATTAATTGACCGGGTTAAATGACCGGATTAATTGACCGGGTTAAATGACCGGATTAATTGACCGGGTTAAATGACCGGATTAATTGACCGGATTAAATGACCGGGTTAAATGACCGGGTTAATTGACCGGGTTAAATGACCGGATTAATTGACCGGATTAAATGACCGGATTAATTGACCGGATTAAATGACCGGGTTAAATGACCGGATTAGATGACCGGGTTAAATGACCGGGTTAATTGACCGGATTAAATGACCGGATTAATTGACCGGGTTAATTGACCGGATTAAATGACCGGATT